GCCCGGGCTAGATTCGAACCTGCCACCTTAGGTGTATGTGGCTGGTGCCTTAGCCACTTGAGCCACAGGCGCCGAGCCTAGATTCACTAATTTTTAACATTTTGCCACATTTGCACACATATCCTCTTACACACAGACACAGACACAGAGTTTCAGGTACTGACTAAACCAGACATCATGACTCTTCACCTATAAATACTTTAGCATGTAATCTAAAAACAAAGACATTCTCCCTTTTTCTTTTTTGGAGAAAGAATCTCATTCTGTCATCCTTGGTAGAGTGCTAGGTTGTCTAGCTCACAGCAACCTCAAACTCTTGGGCTCAAGTGATTCTCTTGCCCCAGCCCACCAAGTAGCTGGGACTACAGGTACCCCACCAGAACACCTGGCTATGTTATTTTTCCTCACTCTTGCTCCGGCTGGTCTTGAACTCTTGAGCTCAAGCGATCCATCCACCTTGGCCTCCTAGAGTGCTAGGATTATAGGTGGGAGCCAGTAAGCCCAGCCTCAAAACCATTCTCTTAAATGAGCATGATTCTATTATGAAATAAAAGATATTTTTAACATTGATGACCATCTAATACACATTCCATATTTTGACTTGATCAATTGTTCCAACACGGTTCTTTAGAAGTGCTATTCAGAGCGTGTGTGCAGGCTGGAAGTAGTTCATAGAAAGTCTGACACCAGCCTGTGATGAGATAAGGACTTTCCTCCAGAATGCAAATTAGTATGCAGCTTTCTTCATCAACAAAAAATAGGGAAAAAAAATGTCAGGCGAACGAATGGTGTGCGTAGTGATGTAACCGATTTACATTCTGGTGCAAGTTCATCTCGTTGCGGACCTGTAGCAGACTGTCACAGATCAACTTCTTTGCATAGCAATACTTTATGAAAAAATTGTTTTCAGCAATTCAAAAATATAATCCAGGATCTACTTGTCATGTGTCTTTAGTCTCCTTTAATCTGAAACAGTTCCTTAGGCTTTGTCTTTCATGATACTGATATTTTGGAAGAAACCAGGCCAATCCTAACCCTCAATTAGGATTAGGATCTGTCTGATAGTTTCCTCATGCTTAGACTCAGATTGTGCATTTTTTTTTTTGGCAGAAAAACCACACAAATGGCTTCCTTCTCATTGCATCCAGGGGCCCTCAGAGTCACTGTGTCTCATCATTCATGATAACTTTGATCTCTTGATTAGGATGGAATTTGTCAGATTTCTCCACTGGGATTTTTGTTTTGCAGCCATTAATGAGTAAACTGTGAATAAATAGTTTGAGAATATATAAATATCCTGCTTCCCAACGTATTTTTACCCTGTGGTTTTATGTTCATTCATTATTTTTGCCTGAATCAGTTATTATTCTGGAAGTTTCCAAAGCAGTGATTTTGTAACCCGTCTGTTCCCTCTCTATTTATTAGTATCATGGCACATTCATGGCTTTTCCCCCTCAGTTGTGATCCATCGCTGTTATTATTCATGGGAAGATTTTGTTTTAAGCCTCACATGTGCTAAAATCCGTGATATTTTTAAAAGTAGGAAGAAAATTTATAGTTTCTTTTTCAAAGGTAAGAATATTTTAAACTTTGAATGGTAATTTTGTGTCTTAAAATAATATTTACCATAACTAATATTTGGATAACCAAAGCAATCTGTCTTAAGTAAATATTTCTATACAGGATTCAGTATAATATTTTAACATAACAGACAAATCACAATCACACAATGGCCTTTCTGGAATACTTTATAGTGGGCTCCACAGGAATAAAGTCTGCACACAGGCATATACACTTGTACACACATGCCCCTCTGCAAAGTAAAGAATAATTTTGTTTAAATAAGCCAGAGAAAATACCAGCTTAAACAGTGGTTGCTATTTTTCCTGATACTAGACTTTCGATATTTGTAACTGTTCTTTTGAGGAGAAAAACAGACATCTATTACTTTCTTCTATCTAACATAAGTTAGAAGTTGCTATCCTAGCAGGTCCAAATCTCAGCCCAACTAGACCTGGAAGGTTTAAATATCCCAACCGGGCAGCCACTGCTCCAGACATTATGAAAAGCAGAGAAAAGAAAATCCTTGTGGTATTTCTTTTGGAACAACACGAAAACTAAGGAAGCACATACATTGAGTATCAAAATGTACTACTGGCATGAAATGCTGGGATAAGTGGTACGAAAATACATTAAACATAAAATGGAATCTTGACCAAAAGAAAAATAGAGTATGATGTTACAACTAAGAACACCATGTTTACCTAAGAAGAAACATGAAATCCAGTCAAACAAATACTGAAATCTGGTTTTGCTGGACACAGCTCCAACACTATCACAGGAGACCATTTCACCGCGGCTAGAAACATGAACCAACCTGCGGATTCAATGGGATCACAGACCACCAGTCCACCAGGATTATTGTGCTTTGCACTGAAATGCCATTTTGATGTTTGATTGTATTGGCAAAATATACATGTGTTTTTGGGCTGAGATGAACTGAACCGCTAAAAAAAGCATGACCCATGTTGGAAAGGATTTTGAAGTCAGACATGCCTTGACTCTGGTGACTGCAAACCACTGAAAACTTAATTTTCTCTGATGTTGCTGAGGGATGTATCAGGTCAGCCACAGCCTACTGCCTGCTTTTTGAGGTGAAAGGAGGGATGTGGGTGGTAGAATCCAAGTGGAGATTCTGGAGGGAGCTGAGAACCGCTCTTGAATTGCTATTAAAAGTGACGCAAAGGGAGCCATGGGGACAGCAGTGGATCAAAGTAAAGCAGATCCTTAAAGAAGCACCAGGCCCACAGAACAGAAAGGAACAACACGGGACTGACAAGTAGAAAAAAAATGGGGAAAAAAGCAGAAGTAGGCTTTGGGTTTATGTTAATGATAGTCATTAAAACATTTTTATATAAGACATTTCTGAGAATGCATATAGATAAAACAATCTGAAAAAAAAGTTGAGGAGTAGATTTTGAATCAGTCCCATAGTGATCTCTGTCCAAACACAAAGTATCATTAACGTCACACACTCAGCCAAGATGGGAGCCACAGCCTGATAGCACTTACTTGTACTGGAGAGAACCAGTACAGCAAAGGAACATCACTTAGAGCCCCTAGGTGATGCCATTGAGAAATACTAGATGAGACATATGGGGCACCTATAAGATCTCTTGGCATAGACTTGTTACTCTTAAAATGGTGTGCAGATGGTTATGTTAGTTTGATTCAAGCAGTCCATGTTGTATTTCAATCATCACTTTGTACCCTATAAATGTATACAGTTATGATTTAATAAAAATTCAGTTAAAAAAGTAAAATGGTGTACAGGTCCATCACGCACGGCAGCCGAGGAACATTTAGGATATAATTAAATAATACTAGGAATAATACAAGAGGCATGACTGACTGACAGGCATGGGCAAGGGCTAATTTTTTAATGAGCATTTGAATTGTGAAAAGAAGTTTATATTTTGTTAAATACAAGCTGACCATGATGCTGGAGATAAGCTAGTTTAAACAAGATTTTTACATCAAATACTTAAAATAACAAAAAATAGTGCTCGAAGGGGGTTGAGTTGAACTTTAAGTGTCCTATGGTTAGCTTCAAAAAAATTTAAACCGGCTCGGCACCTGTGGCTCAAGCGGCTAAGGCGCCAGCCACATACACCTAAGGTGGCGGGTTCGAATCCAGCCCAGGCCCACCAAAACAACAATGACAGCTGCAACCAAAAAATAGCCAGGCGTTGTGGCAGGCGCCTGTGGTCCCAGCTACTTGGGAGGCTGAGGCAGGAGACTCGCTTGAGCCCAGGAGTTGGAGGTTGCTGTGAGCTGTGATGCCATAGCAGTCTACCAAGGGGGACAGCTTGAGGCTCTGTCTCAAAAAAAAAAAAAAATTTAAAGCAACTGTACAAGTATAGAAGAGATACAACCAAATGACAGTGAGGCCAACAATCGGAGATTATAATTACCGGCAAGTTCAGAGTGGGTCAACAGTGTGATATTGATGCTAAGAAAAAAATGAGTGTGCTCTTAGGCCTAGATTATAGAAGTATTCTGCTCAGGTCCAGAATGGTTTAGACTGAGGTGGTGGCCACTTTGTAAACCAGGTCTTATCTTTTTTTATTTGTCTAACAGTAACGTTTTTATACTTTAATAGAATGATTTTTGGGGTCATGAATGAGAGAGACCTCAATGCAAGCTATTGGCTGCATCTATAAATGCACACACATACCTAAATTTGTATAATTCATAAAGTCCTATAAGGGTCTGTGGACCTTGGGTTAAGAACTCCTTCAGGTTAGGTTGTAGTCTCTTGAGCAGAGATATATTCTAATTCATCGGTGTAGACCAGGAATGTTGATGTTGCTTGGTACCAGTGGAAGCTAATAAATGTTTAGGTTATAAATTTAATACAGGATAAGAGTTGATGATTTGGCTGACATTGGTTGGAGGTGGACAGGGAAGGACAGGCTGTCTGTTCCATTGTTTTGCTGCTTGGCAGCTTGCCTGCTTCACGACCTCCACACCCATCCCAGTTTACCCCTGGGGGCTCCTCGGGTTCAGTAGCAGGGTTACATGGGCCAGTGGTACCTATGGCTAAGCTGCTAACATTAGCCTTGAAGAAGCTTCCCTCTTCCCTGTCATGCAGAACAAGGAAAACCAGTTTGGGAAAATGCGAACGAATGTAAGCTGAAAGTCATGGCTGGGAGAATTTGAATGTGTATTTATGCTGTTTAGTTAGATTTGGGAGCACCTGTCTGAGTAGTTAATGGAAAAGATCCTAGCATGAATTTAAACATTTGGTCTTGAGGACTTAGTCCACCACACAGAAATATAGGATCCATCACGATTTTGATAAAACTCAACTAATAAGTTCTCCATCATAGTGTTTGGAAGCAAAAACCCTAAAGTAACATTTGCAAATAAGAAATTGGTTTGAAAAGCCAGACTTTATCTTGTTTTCATTTACTTAAATTGTGTGGGATAGTCATGTGATAAGATAAATGAGTATTTTTTTGACCCAACAAACTGTCAAATGAACATTAAGAAGGAAAAGCTCTGGCCAGGCACGGTGGCCCATGCCCGTAATGCTAGCATTCTAGGAGGTCTAGGAGTTGGGAGGGTCTTGAAGGGTCTCGAACACTTGAGGTCAGAAGTTCGAGACCACCTGGAGCAAAAGTGAGACCCCCATCTCAACTGAAAATAGAAAAAGAAAATTGGCTGGGTATTGTGGTGGGTGCCTATGGCCCTAGCTTCTTGGGAGGCTTAGGCCATGGCAGTCTAGCCCAGGTGACAGAGAACCAATCTCAAAGAAAAAAAAAAAAAGGAAAAAAAGAAGGAAAAGTTCCTCTTTGAATCTAAAGGCACTTTTTCCCCTAATCTATGTGTTTATTTTTATACCAGTACCATGGTATTTTGGTTACTATATCCTTGTAATATAATTTGAAGTCTGATAATGTGATGTCTTCATCTTTGTTCTTTTTTCTCAGAATTACTTTGGGTATTTAGGGTCTTTTTTTGTTCCATATGAATTGCAGAATTGTCTTTTCTAATTCTGTGAAAAATGTTGATCGTTTGGTAGGGATTACATCGAATCTATACACAGATTTGTGTAGTATAGTCATTTTTACTATTAATTTTTCCAATCCATGAGCATGGGATGTCTTTCATTTTTTGTTTCATCTATAATTTAAGTTTGGGAGTAAGCTGTTACATAGCCACAGGTAACTGTGTGACAGGCAAAATAAGATTAAATTGTTCTGGTTAACTTTTATGATAATTTTTATTATATTATTAAAATATATAATAAAAAAATCTAAAAAACTTTGCATTCCAGAAATTCTACAGAAATGTAAATAAGTCATTGGTTTAAGTGAACTAAGTGTATGATCTGAGTTTAAGTTGTATTCTCAGAAGTTATCTTTTCAACTATTTAAAAATTATTTTTATACTATTTTGATCTTCATACATTCTCATTGCTTAATCAAAGAAGCTTTAAATTCCACTGAACCTGTTCTAAAATTTAATTCATTACTTAGCATTAAACTTAAAGATGACAGAATTTCCAACATGTGGGCAAACAAAAGACTGGGGTAAAAAGAGCTGTCTTGTCTTGAAAGTGAAAGATTCATACAGATTGGCCCATGGCTCTCAGATTCTCTTGTTGCAAAAACCTAAAGAGGGTAAATATCTTGCAGGAGATTAAACAGCCAGTAGCGGTTACTTAGAATTCAGCATTCCTACTTTCTACCAGGCCAAATTTCAGATTTACCAAATAACACTGACAACATTTTTTAATACAATTTTCTGAGCGTGAGAAAACCAAGTCCAGATCAATGATCCATTTCCCACATGTACCAGCCACCATAGGCTGATTGTCCATCCCCAGCTGGGTGAACCCTCTCACCAAAGATGTGTCATCTCAGGAATGTTTATCACTGTGGCTGGACAAATAGCCATGTGTCTCCCCATATTCAGAACATGATCAAATACTTACCTTTGGATTAGGGTGCCGGCCGATGACAAGGCGAACGGGTCCTGGGGGGCATTTGCTCAAGATGGCGTGGACTTTGCTTAAAGCAGCATGGCGCACGTTGATGGAGTTCACTTCTAGGATTTGATCTCCACGGCTAGGGAGGGCAACACACCCACACTCTGTTAGCAGCCAGCTTTTTAAAAGCTACAAGAGCTTTGCTTCTGGGAGATGTTTATAATACAAAATCTTTTCTGAATACTTTGAAGAAGCACATGCCATCCTTTCATCTTTTCATGGGTATAAAAAAAGCCACACATTCATTTAAACACATTAGATTTTAAATTGGCAAAGGCTGTTATGCATATCTCTGGGCACTTTTAGAAGTAGTAAAGTTAAATAAAATTGATAATAAGGACAACAAATGGCAGAGGGTATGTGCCCATTTCTTGAGCACATAGTGTACCAGGCACCATACAAAGCAATCTATATAACAACACTCTGAACCGGTATAATTATTCCCATTATGTAGATAAGGCCGCAGGCTCAGAGAGGTCACTCTTGTGTCACACACTGTTCAACTAACTTGGTTCTGTCTGACTCTCAATCATCATGGATGGCCTCACGACCACCACTGGTTTCTTTCTTCCTACCATCTTGTAATGATTATTGTAATATAATTTAAGGAGGAAATATCTGAAGCTCAAAGGTTACCCAAGAATTTGTAAAAATGTTTCAAATTTGGACAAATGAGAAATTGGGGACAAGTTGCCCATTTTGACTTGAAGTTATAGGGAGAGAACTCAGTAGGAGAGAACAAAGACTCTTTATATGGAGTCTGAAGAATGTTCATTTGGCAGGCTCCGGACATATGGAACCATTCAAGAAAGAAACATCATCCTGGGATGTCATTAAAGAACTTTTTTCCTTGGGTTCTAAAAGTATATTTTCTTTAATGTACTTTGGATGATTTGCTAAATTTTTTATATGGAAATTCACTCTGATGATTAACTAAAAACGTAATACAAGCTATTAACTGGACCCCAAAATGGCAAATCAATGAATGACATTTTAACAATTCCTTAACTGCTAAAGGACTTGGAAGCTTATAGGGGAGAAAGGTGATACTGTTTGGACAGAGTGCTTTGCGTGACACATGTACGTTCTTGTGACATTTAGGTAGGCATGGACCCACTACACTTACTATTGAACAAAACAGAACACCTTGAAATCTCTTATATAAACAGAATACCCATGCTATAACTCAATTATCTAGGTTAAGAAACCAGATGCTCAGTGATTTTCAACAATAGGCATGTAGACATCAGTGTTCAAAAAGGAATGAAAGCAGCAGTGGCAGTTCAAGAGATAATACTTGATAAGAAAGGCCTCCCAGTCAAGGGAACAGTTTCAGAGCTCCCTTGCACCTAGTGGTTCTGAACCATTATGAGCAGTTCCATTATTTTATATGAATATTACATTGACGAATATAAAATGAAAGAAAATACTGAGATAATCATAGATATCTGTATAGAGTTGCAATGACAAGTTTCTGAAATTAAACTTCTGAGTCCAGAAAGGAAAAAACAGGTAGAGAAGCCAAGGTCCAGAGTTCTTTGATTTGACCAAATTGCATTTACATTTGTTTCTCACTTTGGGATATGCTGTGTGTACTAATTGTAGTCTTGGCTATATGACTGGGATAACTCAGAGCTGTAGCATCCCTGAAAGGAATGTAACAGAGCAGACATCCTACGTGTGCGATTCTGCACATTCATGAACACACCAGAACCCTCTACCACCAGGTATGCGTCTAACCTTAGGTTGCTCTCCATCTTGGCCACTGATCCTGGGGCAAGGCTGTGAATGTAGATGCCCGGAGGACTGTTTTCTAGGGCCAGGCAGCACGCACCAATGCCCAGTCCAACTCTGGGCTCTGGGAGAGGCATCATGCAAAGAAAGCAAAAATAAAATTTACACAGTAACCAGAAAAAAGTGCACAACTTATTTGAAACTGAGTTTTTATTCAGGCCCAAACCCATTTTTGTCTGGTTCTGACTCAGAACATGAATCCTGCGTTTATTGCCATGTCTGTTAACGATGTGAGCGTATGGCTAAATCGGGAATTAACCGCGCGCCATGCGGTGTCCAGGGACCCACTCTGCTTAGTCTAAAGAACCTCTCGAACCTTTTTTGGAAACAGGCAAAGTATAAGTACTGTTTTTATTCTGGATACACAACTTGAAGCTTTCTTTTGCCTTTCTTTTTAGCAACTAAC